AAGTAGCAGCCAACTACGGTTTGCTGTGTAGCTCATGCTGGGTGGCCCTGGGCAAGGCACTGGCACAGGCTGACTTTGCACCTCCCGGGAGGCCCCAGAGACAGTGCACCTGGTGGTCAGACTCGACCACGCTGGATTACAACCCTACCACATCCACGAGTGACACACTCAAGGGGCGCACTTGGTGAACACCAAAGCTCCACTGAAGTAAATCCTGCTCCATAGGGGTGTCTCCAGCACAGCAGCTCTTTGGCTGTAGTTGCAGCTGGTCCTCACAGCTGATTGGCCTGGGGGTCAATTCCTCCCAGTGACGCCAACAGCAACCAAGGCTCAACTACAACAGGACAGTGCACACAGCCCACACAGGGGAGCACCTAGAAGGCCCAGCTCAGGTGACTGGGGAGGCTGAGCCACTGGACCCTACAGGACACCTACTACACAAAGCCACTCTACAAATTCCAGGAGACATAGCAGCTCTACCTAATACATAGAAACAAACACCTGGAAGCAGCCAAAATGTGGAGGCAAAGAAACATGTCACAAAGGAAAGAACAGAAGAAATCTCTAGAAGAGGAACTAAATGAAATATATCCAAGCAAGCTAACAGATACAGAGTTCAGAATTTTCTTTATAAGGATGCTCAACCATATTAGTGAGAGTATTACAAAAATAACTGAGAAAATCAATAACATAAGAAAGTATCAATTTGAAATGAAGGCTACAGTAACTGAAATGAAGAATAATTTACAGGGAATCAACAGTAGAGTAGAGGATGCTGAGAATCAAATCAGCAATTTGGAACATGAGGAAANCATGAGCAAACAAAAAACACCCAATCAGAAGAGCAAAAACAAAAAAAAAGAATCCAGAAAAATGAAGATAGTATAAGGAGCCTCTAGGACAACTTCAAGACGCCCAACATTCATATTATTGGGGTGCCAGAGGAAAGAAAGAGAGCAAGAAATTGAAAACCTATTTGAAAAAATAATAGAAAACTTCCCCTACCTGGGGAAAGAAATAGACTTACAAATCCAGAAAGCACAGAGGGTCCCAAAGAAGAGGAACCCAAAGAGGCCCACAGCAAGACACATAATTAAAATGCCAAAGGTTAAAGACCAAGAGAAAATCTTAAAGGCAGTAAGAGAAAAACAGTTAGTTACCTACAAGGGAGCACCCATACGACTGTCAGCTGATTTCTCAACAGAAACCTTGCAGGCCAGAGGGAGTAGCCAGAAATATTCAAAGTGATGAAAAGCAAGAACCTACAACCAAGATTGCTCTACCCAGCAAAGCTATCATTTAGAATCAAAGGTCAGATAAAGACCTTTCCAGACAAAAAATACCTAAAGGAGTTCATCACCACCAGACCAGCACTGCAGGAAATGTTGAAGGGTCTTCTTTAAAAAGAAGCTAAAGAACAAAAGAATCTGATGAACTAAATGGACCCAGAGATATCTACGCAGGCAACAGACGATCATATTTCAGAGGGAAGAGGGAAGGGGGTGGAGGATGGGAAGAGATTAACCAAAGAAGTTATATGCATATAGGCATAACCCAGGGACACAGACAATGACGGGGTGAAGGCCTGGGGAGGGGGTGGGAGCGAGGTGGAGGGTGTCAATTGGGGGGAAAAAATGGGACACCTGTAATACTTTCAACAATAAAGATAAATTAAAAAAAAAAAAATGAAGCCACACCTAGGCATGTCAAAATTAAACTACAGAAACCTAAAGATGAGCCAGTCTTAAAATCAATCAGATAAAAACCAGATTACACACAAAGGAAAGATGGTCTGAATGATGGCTTTCTTTAAATGAGAAACAATGGAGGCCAGAAGGCAGTGGGACAGCATTTTTAAAGTGCTGGAATAAAACTGTCAATACAGAATTCGATAGCCAGTCTTCAAGAATGAAAGCGTAATGAAGACATTTTCAAATAAACACTTGCATCACAAGAAATATATTATAATATAAAGGCTATATATTATTTTATTTTCTTCTCTTAATTTCTTTACATGTGTCTGTTCAAAACAAAATAAAAAAATGCTTTAACACTCTGGCTTGTGTGGTTCAGTGGATTGAGCATCCTCCTATGCACCAAGAGGTCACCAGTTCGATTTCTGATCAGGACACATGCCCGGGTTGTGGGCTCGTTCTCCAGTAGGGAGTGTGCAGGAGGCAGCTGATTGATGTTTCTGTCTTGTCGATGTTTCTGTCTCTCTCTCCCCCTCCCTTCCTCTCTCTCTAATATCAGTGAAAAACATATTTAAAAAAAATAAAATAAAAAATGCTTTAACATTGTATTATTGAATGTAATGTATGATATATGTATATGTATGTCATATGTATATGACAACAATAGAACAAAGGATGGAGAGGTAAATGGAACTATGCTGTTGCACATACACATATGTACACAGTACATGAAAAGTACAATATTAACTCTGGGCAGATTGTGATAAGTTAAAGATGCACCTTGTAATCCCTAGAGTAACCATTAAAAATGCAAGAGTTAGGACTAAAAAGGAAAAGATTAAAATGCACTACTAAAATTATTCAACTAAGGAAGAACAGATGGAGCAAAAGAAAGGTGGGATGGATAGAACAAAATAGTAAATGGCACACTAAACCCAAGCATTAAATTCAAAGCATTAAGTATTCCTATAAGAAGACAGTAATTGTTAAAATGGGTGAAACAGGAAATCCCAACACTATGTGGCGTACAAGAAAGAGCTTGGAATACAAAGTCAAAATAGGTTGAATGTAAAAGGATGGACAAGTATGTACCATGAAAACATTATTAAAATTAAAATCAATACTTACAAAAAGACATTGTTACAAAGATGAATAGGTAATGTACAGAATGGGAGAAAATATTCACAAAAATATCTATAAAGGACAGAATATAGAAAAAGCTCATAAAACTCAACAATGAAAAGATAAAGATCCCAACAAATATAAAAGTGGGCCACACTTGAACAGACACTTCACAAAGTAGACACATGACTAACTAATCAGCCCATGAAAAATGAATCAGTATCATTAGCCAATAGAGAAACCAAATTAAAACTACATGGAGGTATCGGTACATACTCACCAGATCACCTAAAACATCAAATGGTGGCAAGGATGTAATGCAACCAGAGTGTTCATACCTTGAGAGGTATAAAGTGCTACAACCACTTGGGAAGGATTTTCAGTAGTTTCATGTGAAGTTAAACATTTGCTCTTGGCCCAGGAACAGCACTCCTGGGTATTGATGCTAATTGATTGTTGCAAATACATTCCACAAAGATTTGTACAGAAATGTTCCTGCAGCTTTATTCACCAAATAATGCAAACTGAAAACATCCACAGGAATGTCACCAGGAGAATGGAAACAAACCGTGGTGTTTCCACCAACTGGAGCAGATTACCAGTGCGCACGGCAGCGTGAATGAGTCTCGGGGTTGTGCTGCGCAGGGGAAGCCAAACACAAAGGAGCACACACTGTGTGGCTTCATTTATATGAAGGTCTAGAGTAAACTAATGGAAGGTGAAAGTTCAGAAGCGTGGTGTGGGACTCAGCAGATTGACTGGGCCAGGATACAGGAATTTTGTGGGAAAGGGGTTCATGTAGTCATAGGAGTGTCACTTACATGGGCATATCCACTTTTCAGAAATTTACAGCTAAGATTTGTGCATTTCAAAGTCTATGAATTTACCTTCTCCAAACCTGTAAATCAATAACAATAATGAAGCAGGTGGTGGAGACTGGGGAGCAGTATTGATAAAAAGAATAGTCAATTGTTGCTAATTGATTGTTGCAAATGGGTGACAGATACGTAGAAGTTCATTATACAGGATGTCCCCCCAAAATGTATACACACTTTAACAGCTGATATCTCAATTTTGAAAATAAAATGTATTTAGTAAACACTGCCTTTATAATTATTCAAAGTGTGGGTATGCATTTTTGGGGACACCCTATACTATTCTATTTACTTTGTATATGCTTGACATTCTCCATGAATAAAAAGTTTTAGAAATTATTCCAACCTTAATTTTTAAAATACATTTACTTTAGAGATTTCTTTTAAAAATGATCATTTTCTGTGTTAAAGAAATATTTCATTAAACTATATTAATTTTTTTCATTTCAATTCAGTTTCTTTGTTAGATACATTCAAGTAAAATTAAATTTTGCCCTGGCTGATGTGGTTCAGTGGTTAGAGCATCGGCCTGCTCACCAAAGGGTCACGGGTTCAGTTCCTAGCCCAGGTCGGGGCTCGTGCAGAAGGCAGCCAATCGATGTGTCTGTCTCACATCGATGTTTCTCTCTCTCTCTCTCTCCCCCTCCTCCTCCTTCTCTTTCTGAAATTATTACTGTCAACCTATCAACACATATGTATAGAGATGTCTGAAATAGTATTTGTAAAGTAGTAACTGGTTAGATTTAGGTGGTGGGATTTGGGGTAAGTTTTTTTCTTTATGCTTTTCTGTATTACTGAAATTTTATAAACATGTTTTTACAAAGGAAATTATTCTTAAAAATTATTAAAGATGTATAACATATAAAGTTTTTAGGTAATAAGAGTTTTCTATACCGACTAATTCAAGTTTTGTCAGTGGGCATAGACTTTAACCCTATTTATAAATACCCTGTCTGGAGGGCTCCTAAAATCGACATCATTTGCTGAGCCTGCATGATTTCGGAATGAGTGCACCCCAACTGCTTGTCTTTACTTGTCCAAAATATGAAAGAAAGAGAGGAAGCTGTGGCCCTGACTGCATAACTTCACTCTCTTGTGCTGATATGTCAGGTAACAGATCACTTGGGGGGGTATATAGAGGGGACTGGAGACCGTGTGACCCTTATTAAGAGAAAGTTTAAGAGCTTCTGCCATTGCCCTTATTTACTGTACTATCACCTAATATTCCAAATCCCTAATCTCATGGTTGCATTGCGGTAACCTCTATGAGGACATAAACTTGGATTTTTTTCTTATTAAATAACTTCAGGGGATCAGTATTGTGGAGGACGCCTTGAAAGACCTTCCGGCTCTTTTAAAACCCCCAACTGGCCAGACCGCGATTACCCTGCAGGAGTCACTTGTTTGTGGCACATTCTGGCCCCAAAGAACCAGGTGAGGTTCCCTGAGCATGTGAAGGAAGTATTGTGTGTGAACTGTCCAGATGGTTTGAGGAGCCCGACTCTTAAGAGGAAGGCAACTGGACACAGGCCTTTCTTCATGTGGAGACCCAGAGTCCACTTGCTCTCGCACTATTTGACTTGCAAAGCCATGGATTCAGTTTCCCATTCCAAAACTGCAATTTTCAAAACAGGTTTTGAAATACAAATGGTAAGCAGATCCCCCCGTATGAGATTGTTTAACCCTGTGGAAGATTTTCTAAGCAGCAGCTGCTAATTGTGGGAAGATAAAAAACCTCCCAAGTGCATGTATGTATGTTTCAGGTCACCCTTGCTCACGTGGCAAAGCCATCATGTACTTATAATAGCCACCCCAGTCGCCAGGCCAGAAACAGTCTGCCTGCTTCACCTGACACAGCCAGCCCAACAGGCCACGCCGCCCTGCAAAGAAAAGTGGTCTGCTGTGAAAGCCAGTCTGCTTATGGTTTCTTTGGTTGCTTTTAAAAATGGAATTTGTGCAGGTTCCCCACAAATAACTTTACTCGTTGCTGTGAAACAATCGACAGAGCAGCTCTGTGCCCAGTGCTCATTAGGAGCAGTTATAAGACTTTGCACTCCTTCTGGGACCCACTTTCATATGTTAATTGCAGGACAGAACTTAGCTCGGGAATAGACCAAGCCTATGCCACGGACTTTTGAAAATAACTCATTCCCTGCTTCTGTAGCTGTCAGCAATCAGAGCTCCTAAGTTTAAGATCTTAACTAGGGTTGACCTGGGAGTGAGATGATCGTTTGGAATGATTAAAAGTTAAAGCAAAAGAGTAGCACAAGAAATACGAATCCCACAGAAGTATGACAGCAAGAATAACTTACATAGAGTGAGTGCGTTTCTACAGAGGAAACCACGGTACCCTACGGTTGGGGGAAGGGGGAATCCACTTGAGCGTGCTCAGCAGTGGATTCCCACCCTTCTAATACTGTGCTTTCCCTAAAGCTCATAGAACTGAAGTTTGAGAAGTTCGACGTTGAGCGCGATAACTACTGCCGCTATGACTATGTGGCTGTGTTTAATGGTGGAGAAGTCAACGACGCCAAAAGAATTGGGAAGTATTGCGGTGATAGTCCACCTGCGTAAGTAGTACCTGCTTTATTTCAAAACCTCTTCTTTTTTAACCTCATCTGTGGATATGTTTATTGGCTTTTAGAGAGAGGGGAAGGGAGATGGAAAGAGAGAGAAACATCGATGTGAGAGAGAAACATCCCTCGGTTGTCTCCCATGAACACCCCAACCCGGGATCAAACCCACAATCTGGGTATGTGCCCTGACCAGGAACCGAACCCGCAATCTTTTGGTATACGAGTCCACTCTCCAACTGAGCCACCTGGCCAGAACTTAAAACTTGTTTCTTATGCAATTACTCAATTATATTGTATTTTCTGAAAGATTTTATGTTGTTGCTTTGTTCACAAATTCCTGGGTTCCATAACAATGAGTAGGTAACCTTAACAAGTGTGGTGAGGCCTTGACAGCCCCACGGATGAACAGAAACAGAGTTGGTGATGCCAGGGGCGGATGCTGAGTCAGATGCCTGGATATGTCACTGCCCTGCAAAGGTGAGGTCAAGCCTCAGAGCAAATGCGAAAGTCTGAGAAAAAACTAGGGGCTGCCTACTGGGGACCCAGACAAGGAGCCCAGGAAGCTTATGACAGACTCAGGTGATTTTACCGATCAGGTCCTGTCCTGGACCTTTTGGAGCCCTGAGCTCCTCCTCACATTGTTGATGCTCACATTTTTGGTGAGTGAACCCAAAAGGTACTTACTAGAACATTTATGCTGCTTACTAGCTGGTGACACTGGGCACGTTACTTAACTCAAGATGCTGTATTTTGGTGCAACAAGATATTTCACAGCTTCGTACGCAAGACTAGGAAAGTGACCATTGAAATTACTGCCGCTTGTCAGCACAGCCACTGTCCTGCCTCAGTGAGCACCCTCTCCTGCTGTTGCTGAAACAGATTGCGTGCACCACCTGCTTTTACATACATTTCTATGGTTTCCACAGACACTTTTGAGTTAAAGCAAGGTGTTTTTTTTCAGTTTCAATTCATTTATATTTAAGTTCAGTAATAATTAAAAATTTTAATGTATTCCAGTTAGTTATAATTTAAACATTAGTATGTCCAGATTTGGCTTCGTAGATGAGTGTGATGGAGAGAGGCCCATTTCTAAGCTCCTAGAGTCCTTGTCTTCTTTTCCTATTGCTGCTGTAACAAATGTCCACAAACTGAATGGCTTAAAACTACATATTTGTTCTCTTACAGTTCTGGAGATGAGTCGTCTGAATTTGGTTTCACTGGGCTAAAGTTAAAAGTCAGCAGGGTTGTTTTCTTCTGGAAATATTACTGGACAGGGGACCTGGCCCTTGGCGGGTCTGCCTAGGGCCAGCCTACCAGTAGTGTGTGGGTTCTTGACTCCATGAGGAGAGATCTCACAGCACGAGTCCAGGTGACTGTGAGGGAACGTTTATTAAAGCTGAGACAGTGAAACAAGAAAGGGCTCAGCATAGAAGCAGCAACAGGAGGGCCGAGGCTGAGCTGCCCTGGCTCACTGGGAAGCCAGAGAAAAGGGGGCTGTGGAGATAGGCTCAGGGGGTAAGCCCAGGATGCGTTGCCACTGCCCATGGCTGCCCTGGTTGCAAGTCTCCTGGGGAAGAAGTGTGTGTGGGGGGGGGACTGTGTCTGCTAGATCCTTTGTCTTGAGGCTTTTATCTCTCTCCTGCAGGCAGGAATCTTAGGGGAGGTCTCAGGGGAGGGTTTCAGCAGAATATTCATCAGTTTTCTAGGTGTGCTCTTACAGAGCCATGGTTTCCACTGATTGGTCAGTGTGAGGGCAGGGCGTTGTCAGTCATCACAGCTGGTCCTGGCATCACCCACCTGGTTTTGCTGCTTTTCTGAGCCTGAAGCTGAAATATAACTGAGGCCCAGATGTTATTTCTTGGGAGGTGACCTGTACCTGCTGTAAATTGCTCTGCCGGCTTGTTCAGCTGTCTGCCTCAATTTCCCCATCTGCTTGTCTTGGCTCACTGCCTGTCTCAGAAGCGTGAGGGGAGAATCGTTTGCTTGCCTTTTTTCAGCTCGGAGGCTGCTGGCGTTCCTTGGCGGTGGCCCCTTCCTCTGTCTTTGAGGCACATCACCTCTGTCCTGGCTTCTGTCATCACGTAACCAGACCTTCCAGTTATGAGGGTATCTGTGGTTACATTCAGGGCCCACCTACATAGCCTAGGATGCTCTCTCCTTCCCAAGATCCTTAATTTAACCTCTGCAAAGTCCCTTTGCATATAAAGTAACATTCACAAGTTCCAGGAGTCAGAATGTGGACATTTTAGGGGCCACTGTTCATGCCGTCACACGCTCCTCTGCTCAGGCCAGTCTTTTCGCCTAGACCCCTCCGAGGATCTCCTGCCTCCCTAGAAGCACCCCTTTCCCCAGTAGGTCTCTTTGCCCCATTTTTAGCTCGGCCCCCTTTTTCTGTCCCTTCCCCATAACCTATAAACTTAAGTTCTCCCAAATTGAAAAATAATCCCTCTCAACAATCTGTCCTGGTCTAGCTTTTTCTGCTATGTTTTTTCTTCAAATCCAACTATTTAAAAAAATAATTTCATTTCATTTTCTAGCGATATGGCATATAAGCTAGGTTAAAGCATTGGTGAGTTGGCTAAAAAATAAGAAATCACCCGAGGAGAGAGAAGCAAGTCCTTGGAGGAGGCAGCTTTCCTCAGGACACACCTCGTTATTGACCTGGATCTTCTCTCTTTACAGACCATGCTCGGGGACAGGACACAGAGCTCAGGCAAGGGGGACATTGGGTCAAAGACTTCAGCATACACAGGGGACCTACAGAAAGTGACGCCAACTACAACCCAAGGGTGGTAGCTGGGACTCGGCATTGGGTAAAGGGAAGAGGTAGTTCCTTATGGGAATTCCCAGCCAAAAAGCCATCCACATGTGAGTCTGTGGTTACAGTTTACACTAAACGCAGTGAAGAATTCCGTCTGTAGAGTTTCCGAGTTGGTGGTGCCCACAGAGGTGACAGAAGAAAACATCCATTCTCTCTGGACGGATGCATCTTAGCTCAGACTTTAACAGTATCTACAGATAAAGTTTTAAGAAAATAAGTTCCCAATAAAAAATCATAAAACATAAAGGAAAAGCCAACATAAACAAGAATCAGGAGAAATAAACAGTATAGTCAGACCCACAGAGGCCATCTGTAGTGAAAGCATGAGCTGCAGAATGTGAAATATGTTTGCTCGGAGAGATTCGTGCAATGTATCCTGACTGAGGGCCTGCCAAGTGCAGCTTGTTGAAAATACGACTAACAAGCAGGAGGCCTTCAGAAATGTTCAAACATTTAACAAATAGCCTAACGGGATTTTCAGAACTGAGACATATAATAATTTAAACAAAAAACTTAACATATGTTTTGAATAGCTGATAAGACATAGCTCCAGAAAGAATTAGGGAACTGATAAATGGATGTGAGATGATTACCTGGAATGTACCACAGAGACAAATAGTCGGAGAATGTCAGGAGAGGTTCAGGGTCACCGAGGCTGGAGTGAAAGGACCACACATTTAATACACTAAAAGTTCTCTAACAGGAAATACAGAATGTAGGAAATTTAATGTTTGAAGAAATAATAGTTGAGGCTTTTCCAATGTGGATGAAAGATACCATCAAATTCAAGAACTCAATAAATCCTAAGCAACATATATATTAATATGCCCTTTCCTACGTGTAGTATAGTAAAACCACAGGACAGCAGAGAGAGGTGTTAAAAACAGCCGGAGAGAGAAGGCCGAGGATCACAAAGGAAAGACAGTTAACCTAATAACTGACTTCTCAGTAGCAACAGTGGAAGTTAGATCTTAGAGAATATCTTCAGAGCACTGAGCCAGAATAGCTCGGATTATGAAAAACCTCTCTTTCGTGAATGTGGGTGAAATAAAGACCTTTGCAGTTAAACAAGGGCTGAGAGAGTTCACTACCAACAGACCTAACCAAAGAAACTTCATTATGTACTTCAGGCAGGAAGAGATGGTCACAGAGTAAAGGACCGAGACACAGGAGGAAACACTGAACAAAGACCTTAGTCATAAGCGTTGAAGGATTCGGAGGTCTTTGTATTATTGACAACGGGGTGAAGATATTATTAAACTTTATAACTTGCTAAAGCAAATAGGGATGTTAAATTTAGGGCAATCTCTAGAAAAAGTAGAAGTCTTTAACTTCCCGAACAGTGAAGGAAAAACACAAAATGAGAAAAAAGGTAGATCCCAAAGCCAAGGTAAAAGAGAAACATGAAAAGGCAGGCTAAATAAAAAGCACAAAATGAGATGGTAGAAATATCTCTAGGTGTATCTGTAACCCACACAAATGCAAGTGGACCAGATCATTAATGGAATGGTAGAGATGGTGAGACTGGGTAACAGCCATGTGCTGTTTGTAAGACATATCCAAAAAATAAGAACACAGAGCATTCAAGAATAAAATGATGGCCAAAGATATCGGAAGCAAATGCTGATAGAAGAAACTGGCCTAGCTTTATCAATATCAAGACAAGTAGATTAGGAAGAAAGCAGTAGGAGAAACAATTACTATATAATGATAAAAGGTGCAATTTATCAGAAAGGTATAACAGTTGTAAACTTGTGTGCACATCAAAAATATGTAAAGCAAAAAAAATAAATGAATAAAAATTAAAAGATCTACATAGTCCACTATTATAGCAGGAGATTTTAAACACATCTCTTTAAGTAATTGGCAGATTAACTGTGAATTACAGAAAGATGGGAAATTAGGATGCAAAAGATTTAAAAAACAGTTAAGTGGCTTTTCTGATGGGTAGGAACACTGCACCCAACTACAGGGGAAAACATTTCTTTCAAGCAAAAATGGACACGCTTGACTTGGGGTGGTAAACACACAATACAATATGCAGATGATGTATTGTAGAATTGTACCTGAAGCCTATATGATTTTATTAACTATTGTGGCCCCAACAAATTCAATAAATAATTTTAAAATAAGAGCAATACAAATAGGATGCATATCCAGCCTCCCTCAGGCCCAGAATTTTGACACTAAACTTAATGGTAAAGGTTAACTTTCATTTCAAATAAAATACAATAGTCACTTTAAAAAAACACAGAAGAAAGAATAATCCAGAATTGCCGGATAATGATGAAAGAAATCTGATTTCTAGTTGAAAGTGATTGGAGTGGGGGACCGGCCCAGATTGCATTTCTCCACCAGTTCTAACCAGTATTTGAGGAACAAGTTTAGCACCACAGGCTCTTCCGAAGAACAGCAGGGTGGTTCCCAGCTAACTTCATAGGGCTCCTGTAAACTGACACCAAACTAAGTAAGGACAATACCAGACTTATGAATGTGATGGAAACCCTAAAGAACAATATTAGCAAGCCAAACCTGACAATGTGTAAAACATGCTCTCTGACCGGGAACTTGGATTGACTTGAATTTAGAAACTGCTTCATACATCACCACATCAAAGCTGACCTGCAGATTCATGTGTTTCCTTGTGGAAACATTAATTTATTCAAGAACGTCCTTTTTAAATAACTTGAATTTAAAAGCTTGTATTTTTAAAAAGATATTTTAATAGGAAAAATATAAAATACTCAAGAATAAATTGAACAAATTATGTGCAAGGCCTTAATAGAAAAAATGATAAAACCTCACTAAAAGGTATTTTAAAAGACCTAAATAAATGGCACTATATACTATTCTCATGAATAGGAAGAATCAATACCATTAAAAATATTAAAATTGAAGGTCGGGGGTTCGATTCCATGTCCGGGCACATATCTAGGTTGCAGTTCAATTGCCAGTCGGGGTGCTTACGGGAGACAACTGATGGATGTTTCTCTGTTTCTCTCTCTCCCCCTCCCTTCCTCCCCCTCTCTCAAATCAGTAAACATATCCTTGGGTGAGGATTTTTAAATTGCTAATAATATTTTAAAATAGTTTTTTCATTAAACCTGACAGTATGGCGTTGCGAGGGAGGTGGGGAGGGGTGCTGCTGAGAGTCTTGAGGAAGAACCTGGCAAGGAGGGGTTGCGTCGCCTGGTGGGGCTCATCAGAAAGCTGTTCATTAAGACAGCGTGGTTCTGCCGGGGACAGGGACAGACCGAGGCAGGACACCGAGAGGCCGGAGCGTTCCACCCGTGTCTGCCCTGCGCATGTCACGGCCCTAGGGCAGACGAAGGCAGGACAGTTGTCAATCGTGGGAAAGGTGACTGTATTCATAGCTAATATCACACAAAAGTTAAATACAGATCAAGTGGGGACTTAAATGAAACTTAAACAAGAACTTCTGCTTGTCAAAATAACCATGAAGAGAAGGAAAAGACAAGGCACAGACGGAAGCAGGCGTTTGTAACGTATTTCACGAAGACCTAGGTTCCAGAATACATCAAGAAATCCTAAAAATTCGTAAGAAAAACAGAACAGCTCCATAGAAAAGCTGGGCACAAGGCCTGACAAGGCCTCCCCAAAGAGGCCGTGCCGTAGTAACCTTGGAGCGGAGTGCGCCCTGCGCCAGCCCCTCTGGGAACCAGTCTCGCCTTCTCTAATGAGGCCGAGAAGGGGCGCCTGCCCTGTGGCCGGTAGGGCACACACCCGCCCCTGTGCCCCCTGCAGGGTTGCATGAGAGCTCTCATTAAAAGTGGAATGAGGCCCGGCCGGGCGTGGCTCAGCGGTTGAGCATCGACCTAGGATCCAGGAGATGGGGGTTCGATTCCTGGTCAGGACACATGCCTGGGTTGCGGGTTCGATCAATGACTCTCATCATTGATGTTTCTATCTTTCTCTCCCTCTCCTTTCCCTCTCTGAAATCAATAAAGATAGATTTTAAAAAAGAATTAAAAAAATAAATGAAATGGGCCCTGGCGGGGTTCTCCAGTGGTCAGAGCACCATCCCAATACACCCAGGTTATGGGTTCCATCCCCAGCCCGGGCACATACAAGAATCAAGCATTGAATGCATAAATAAGTGGAGCAGCAAATCAATGTTTCCCCCTCCCTCTCTCTCTCTCCCTCCGCCCTACCCCCCTTCCTCTCTCTCTAAAATAAAAAAAAATTTTAAATCAATAAAAAATGGGAATAAAATAATAAAAAATGGAGCACTACAGCACCAAATGAAAAAACAATGAAATGGAAGTTCGATTAAACCCTGATGGCTTTCTTATCCCCAGGTGACCAGCCCTTTTGGCCGTGTCTTCACAGCATCTGGGTATTTGTTCATTAAATTTCTCCCTCTGGTTCCCATGGCCAGCGAAACCCAGAGTCTTCATTCAGCAAAGCTGTGTTCTTCCCACATCTGGCTAAATTATGAGGTGCTCGTGCCCAACCAGCCACAGTGTCAGTGTTTACACTGGTCTCCATGTTTACCACAGTCTCAGGCGTCACCTGGTCCTGGGTTCAAATCCCAACTCTCCTTCACATAGCTGTAGGGCCTCAGGCGAGTCGCTGGACCCTGACCTTCAGTGGCCTGTTCTATAGAAAGGGGATAGGGGATAGGAACAGGGTTGTGGTGCAAATAGGCCCTGAGGGTTTGGTAGAGCACAGGCTGGACTTGGCAGACACTCAGTGATATTAGCTACCAGTGTTGACATCGAGCAGTCAGGCTTCCCCTTTTTAAAGTATTTTAGCTTTTAAGTTTAAACAAGTAGTAAGTTGTCAGAAATTAATGGAAAGCTACAAAATTCTACATTTCGGAGAAGTACCACTTAAACCTTAAAATGTATATTTGTTTAAACATGTTTTTGTTCTTTTAGGCCAATTGTATCTGAGAGAAATGAACTTCTCATCCAGTTTTTCTCAGACCTAAGCTTAACTGCAGATGGATTTATTGGTCACTACAAATTCAGGCCAAAAAAATTACCTACAACTACAGTACCACCAGTTACCACCACATTCGCTGTAACTACAGGTAAGTTTTTCTGTTTTGAAATTTGCACACAAACTTAAGGAGTATTAAGAAATCTTTTGAAGTAGAAAAAATCAAAAGGAAGCTTTTTGAAACTAAAATAAGTTAAATAAGATGAAAGCATACATAAGAGAATAATATGACTTCGTTAATGAAAGAAACATATAAGGTATAAGAATAATAAGCTAATTCTTTTTAAATTGATTTTTAGAGAGAGAAAGAGAGAAACATTGATGTGAGAGAGAAACACTGATTGGCTGCCCCCCTGTTCCCTCCCCTCCACGCCAACTAGGGATCAAACCTGAAACCTGGGCATGTGCCCGAGTGGGAATTGAACCTCCCCCCCTTGGTGTACAGGATGACGCTCCAACCAACTGAGCCACACAGGCCAGGGCTAACCTAGTAATTTTTAAATGTCATGTAAAAAAATTATGACCTGTTAAAAATTTCTAGGAACCCTAGTAACAGATCGTTATAAAACTAATTTTTTTTTTTCTGGCACTTAGAAAATATGGTTCTCTTTTCATTACATAGAATTATAGCGCTTTAGGTTAAAGTTCTAGGGCCTCGAGATACCTGCCTGCTTACACATCTGCCAGTATTTGGGCTTTTTTTTTTTTTTTGCTTTACTCCACCTGTGTCATACAAAATATATTACTTTTTTATTGGAGTTAATAAAACAAAAATATTGACATATTCTTGAAGTCAGTTGGGAAACTCTGGCCTGGGACATGATCTAAGAATTGGAGAGGCAGGACTGGGTCCCCATATCTAGTCTCTACATCCTGTCAGCTCCACCCACTGGGATTTCAGGCCTCAGATATCAAAGTCTAAATCCAGGGAGGAGGAAAGTGAGGAGGAAGGATCTAAGGTTAAGAAATGAAGCAGGTTGAAATAAGAACAACTTTATTGCCCACTATTTTCTGTGTGCTCCCAAAGTAAGGCTGTCCTGAGTACCCATACTTACGTAAGAGCAGCGTTTTCTGAGCTCTCCCCAAGTGTGCCGCCTTGTGGCCTGGAAGGGTACTGCCTCATGTTACAGCATTATTTCTCCGGCTCATCTCAGTGGACCTGTGTCCTTACTCTTTCCAGTGAATCATTGGGTCAAACCCAGGGTGCTTGGTGGTTCCCCAGCTTTTATGTCCAGGCCTAAACTTTCTCCAAAATTGCAAACATGGATTTGTAATTACCTCCTAGAGTTTTGCAACTGCTAGACATTTAAATTAAAATCTATCAAACTCAACTTATCATCACACTGCTTTCTGCCCTACACCTGCTTCTCCACCTGTTTTCCCGGGCATGGCCCACAGCCTCAGAGCCCCACCCTTAGGGCCATCTTTACCTCTGCCTTACCTCTCCAGTGCATGTGCCGCCACTCCATAGCCGGCCGTGCCGTCCTCCCCTCCAGTCATTCTCTACACCTGTGCCATCCACTGCATTAGCCACTCTGAGCACTGGAAGTGTGGCCAGTGATACTGAGGAACTGAACTTTTAATGTAATGAAATTTAAAAGCCTGTGCCTAGTGGCTACCAAATTGGACAGCCCGGGAGCCCGCCTCCCTCACGTAGTATGTAAGGCCCTTCACACTTCATCCCCATTCTCTCTTTCTAGATTCATCTTAGGTCCCTCTGCCTCTGTCCTTATGCTCTAAGTATTTTGGATTTTATCCTAAGTGGGGAGAAAGCTGTGGATGGATTTAAGCAAAGTTCAGGATTAGATTTATATGAAGATCACTCTGGCCACTATGAAGTGAACGGATTGTAGGGGTTAAGAGGACCCTTAGGTTCCTGTGGTTGTCCAGGTGAACTGTGCTATGACATAAATACAGAGGCCCTGGCGGGTAGCACAGCTGGTTAGAGCATTGTCCCCATACACCAAGGTTGTGGGTTTGATCCTGGTTGGGGCACATGTAAGAATCAACCAAAGATGCATCAGTAAGTGGAACAACAAATAGATGTTTCTCTCTCTCTTTCTCTCTCTCTTCCTCTCTCTAAAATCAATTTTAAAAATAAATAAATAATAAAGAAATAAAGAAATAAGAAAGAAATAAAGAAAGAAGGAAGGAGGGAGGGAGGGAAGGAAGGAAGGAAGGAAGGAAGGAAGGAAGGAAGGAAGGAAGGAAGGAAGGAAGGAAGGAGAAAGAAAGAAAGAAGAAAGAAGAAAGAAAAATACAGAGATAGTCAAGAGTCATTAACTGTTGTGCAAGCCAGGGACCACAGGAGATACTGGCAGCGCTTGGTAATTAACTGGACTAAGGAGATCAGGGAGGTGTCCAGAATGCCTCCTGGGTCCCTGGCGTGCAAAACCTGGGGGTAATGTTATTCACTGAAGCTGAGAACTGGGTATGGGGGTGGATTCATAAGATAAGCTGTGACCTTGTTGGAACCGAGGTGTCTGAGATACTCCAGTGGAGATGTCATGTGAATAGTTATGTCTATGGGCTCCCAGACCAGAAAAGATTTAAGCAAGATATCTAAATCTGAGAGTCACCAACACGCACGTAGCTGAGACCATGGTCCTGAGTGAGATTGCCTAGGGAGAGGTTAGGAGAGAAAGAAGAAGGGCTGGGGATAAATCTCTGGAAACTCCAGCACTTTCAGGGGAGGGTATGCTGGTGAAGGAGACTGACCGGAGAGGCCAAGGGGGAGGGAGGGGAGCCAGGGGCATGTGCCGTGGGAAGGGAATATCCTAAGAAGGGAATGGTCAGTAGAGCCAAGTGTTGATGGAACTCAAAAAAGGAAGGACTCAAGTGTTTCCATTTGGTTTCCTGACATGGAGGCTACTGGAAACCCTCGCAAGAGTTGAGTGAGTGGAGCTGTGTAGGCAGAAGACAAACAGAGTGGGCTGAGGTGTGGGGAACAAGGAGAAACTGAGACAGCAGTTCCAGCAACTCAGTCCACAAGTTTGGTCCTCAAGGGAGGGAGAGGCTTTGAGTGTCTGGAACTAGTTAAAGGCAATGGTACGTAGCCAGCTAAGGAGAACACATGGCAGACAGAGGAATGAGTGACCGGAGGAGGGAAAACGTCTACAAAGGTGGGGGGATGTGGGCTCCAGAGGACTCGCAGGACAGACCTCAGGCCAGAGAGGGAGCAGCCTCCTCTCTCGGGAGGGAGGGAAGAGAGAGGCTGCAGACAGCACAGCTTCGAAGGTTTGGTGGGGATCTTGACATTTTTCTCCTATGATCCCTGTTCTCTCTAGAAAGTAGGCAGGGCCACCTGCTGAGAAGGCAAGGGAGGTGGTTAGGAGAGAGAATTTGAGAAAGATGTGGGAGTTGGGGAGTGAGTTGATCCACCAAACAGCTTATCACTTGGGTGAGGGTCCGTGTGGAGTCCGCATGGACTCTGCGGAGTGTAGGCCCAGGCCGGACAAGGTCGAAGGGCCGGGGGAAGGGGAGTTTAAGGTATTGTCAAGAAAATGACGGTAATAATGGGCCACGGAAACTAAGTGGAATAGTCAGGGAAGTGAAGATGGATTGGGGAAAGAAAAAGAGTTGAACCACTAGAGACAGGGGAAAAAAGTAGTCATGACAGTAAATCAGTAACTAAGCTTGGAGTAGAGGCGGTCATGCTGGACACGAGCATGTCTACATTTGAGAGACTGGTGACTAAAACTTCAACAGGACATGTGAGCCTGGGGCTGGTGGCTGAAGAGGAGCAGAGGGGAAGTCTCTGGGAAGGATGAGGCCTCAGCATCCAGAGGGAGCACCCCAAGGGGAGCCGTGGGAGGGTGCAGGAACTTGGAGAGGGGAGGGCCGAGAGCTAGGCGCGCGCTTGGGAGCGCAGGGCGGTGGAGGCTGACAGGCTGAGGGTGTGCAGCTGAGGACAGGGCCAGGGAGCAGAGATGCACCAAAGGGAGGGACGGAGCAGAGTGGGACACCCACCCCGCCTCCACAAGCCATCCAGGTAGAGGGGTGCCCTTTCCTTGGTCAGGGAGAACCACTGATACCACTGCTCTTTACCCAGTTAATCAGTAAACTTAGGCTCCAGCTTCTGGAACAGTGTTCCTTCTACGTGTCTACTGAGCCCGTGCTCTTAAAAAGAAATGTGTGTGTGTGTGTGTGTGTGTGTATTTAAGTCATTATAGGTATTAACATTAAACTGTATGTATTTTAATATTGAATCCACCTCACATCCTTTTTGGAGTTCAGTAGGAGTACAGATTAAGGGTAAGCAAACAAATAAATAAATTCACAAAAGGGCCGGCAGAAGCTACTAGAAGGGTGATATTTCCAATGGGGATTCTTACCTGAAAGTACAATTTTGTTACAGTCGTTTTGTTTAGTTCTTCCTAGAATATTGCCACATGTGAATGGATAATTAGCGAGTATTTTTGAAACATTTTTATTGATGGTTATCAGGATTAAATATTTTCATTTTGTTAACTCATTGTTTCTCAGCCTTGGCACTAGTAACATTTTGTGCCACATAATTCATCCTGTTGGGCACTGTCCAGTAAGTCATCTAGCAGCATCCCTACCCGCTAGAGCTAGTAGCGCCCCCTGGTTGTGACAACCAAAACTCTTTCCAGACAGGCCATGGCAGGCTCTGCGTGCACGGTTAGTAATTGGTTGTCCCTAATTACAGCTATAACACACTTTACACCTGAGCAGTGTTTCTAAAAAGCCTGTACTACTCACATTTAGGCAATTGCATGTTTTAAATATACAAAGAAAGCTCCCTCCGTCTTCAGAGGAACAAATTCCTCGTGGAAAGGGAAGAATTAACCTATATTTTCTTAGTTCGTATTTGTTGTACTAGGTTTTTCTAAGCAAGGCAGATGGAGACTATATCTATTTTTTATTATAGTGTTAGTTTTATATAAAGAAAGAAGAGAAAAGGGCTAAATATGGGTTATCTTTGATCTCAGGTTTAAAATTCAGCGAAGGGCCCGGCCGGTGTGGCTCAGCGGTTGAGCGTCGGCCTAGGATCCAGGCGATCAGGGTTTGATTCCCGGTCAGGGCACATGCCCAGGGTGCGGGCTTGATCAATGACTCTCATCATTGATGTTTCTCTCTCTCCCTCTCCTTTCCTCTCTCTGAATCAAGAAAGATATATTTAATAAATAAATAAAATAAATAAAATTCAGCAAAGGGTGTTCAGTTATGCTGACAAAGGTGGAGCAGCAGTTGGTAGTATAGTATAAAGAATTTCTTTTGGTGAAAGGGCGGCAGAGGAAATGAATGGGGGCAGGAAACTTTAATCGTATCCATAAAGTCATTTCTTTAAAAAAATGTTTCATCATGGATGGATCTTGAGAATATCATGCGAAGCGAAATAAATAAGACAGAAAACGTCAAGAAGCACATGACTTCACTCTTGGGATATAAAACTGAAAGCAACAAATGAACAAACACGACAGACAGACAAAAGCTCATAGACACAGACGACAGTGTCGTGGTGACGGGGGGTACTAACGGGGAAAGGGGGTCAAATATACGGTGACAGAAGGAGATCTGACTTTGGGTGGTGGGCACACAGTACAATACACAGATGATGTATCATAGAATTTTACATTTGAAACTTACATAATTTTATTAATGTCACCCCCAGAAATTTAATAAAAATTTTTAAAAATATATCTTTAGTAAATATGGGAAACAAGATTTGACAATGCTGGGTGATGGATACATGGGAGTTTATTATAGTATTCTCTATATTTTTCTGTATGTGTAAAACATTTCATAATGAAAAAGAACAGAACAGACTGACGCGTCTCAGAGGGAGTGAGAGGAAGGAGAGTAACCAAAGAACTTATGTGCATATATGCATTGCCCATGAACACAGACACCAGGGTGGTGAAAGCCTGGGGTGGAGCAGGAACTGGGGTGGGGGAAGCAGGGGGGGAAAGAGGGGGAACATTAAAAAAAAGAACTACTTTTGCATGCTCTTTAATTGTTTCATTGCAATGGCATATTGGTGGCTCGGAGAAATGAATAGGAATTTTAAATTGATAGATTCATATCTAAATACCAATTATACTTGAATTCATTTTCCTGAATCTTATGTCTGTCTTCTTCGAATTAAGGTTTAAAACCCACCGTGGCCATGTGTCAACAAAAATGTAGATGGACGGGCACCCTGGAGAGCAATTACTGTTCAAGTGACTTTGGTAAGCATGAAGCCAGCCTTTCCTCTGTTGTAAGAAATGCGAGGCTACCTGCTGAGTCTCGAAGAAACTGCCATGAGTGTGATGGTAAAGGGTGAGTTACACTCTTCATTTACCCATGAAAGCATTTTCCCACACACTGAGGTGTGCTGATTTGTGCTCGTCAGTGTTACATTTCACAGCTGAGAAGATGTGTATACAGAAAGTACACTTTTTCACATAAACTTAATTTCACTCCTGGTATGCGGTACTGCTCTTATGTGTATTCTGGTGGGCTCAGCATTCCTGCAGAAACCTGTATACTTTTTTTCTCACATATTTTTCATGGATTGATAATTTTTTCACACATCTGTAATTCAACTCAGTAAATTAGAAACACATCTAAGCTGGCCTCTCTCACAAGAAATTCAAGTGTTTCCTCTGTAGTGTCCTTCTAAAGTACTAAATTAAAACTTGGAAATCTGAAATCTATTTGGAAACACTTGTAGATTGGAACCTGAGGAGACATTACTAATGGCTTAGAATTTATAAGAGCTTTTTACGCTAAAAAATAATTGCACTTTTTGTGAAAACCAAGAGCAAAAGATACCAGATTTAATTATGTTGCTTATATTCACAAGAACATTTAAGAAGGTCTCACGAGGAAAAGAAAGCCACTGTAGCCCAAACAGTTCTCCCAGACCAAGGGCCCCAGGAGAGGCCGCAAACCAAGCCGCGCGCAGGCTGACTGCTGCAGTGCAGCGAGGCGCTGGGACCTGCCCTCCGCCCACCTGCACTTTAGAGGCATAAAATGTGCTGAACAGCATAGGTGTCCCAGCCACCGCAGCCTCTGTGGGAGGTGCTTGAGGAAACCTCCCTCCCTGCCCTTTGGCACCACCTGGTTCCACTTGCTACACACTGACATTTTGCAGTGAGCACTCATCACCAGGGACAAAGGGAGGCTGGAAGACTTCTGGTTTATAGGCTTTGCACACCACGAAAGCAGTGAGCTCTCATTTCACCCAAAAGGCTCTTATCAGCCAAGTGCAAAACTCGATTGATTGCACTGACTCGCTTACATGGCAGAGTGACCAGACAGTCACCAGCCACCCATGAGCTCTCAGCCAGCACTGGTAACACCCCTCCAGGGGCAGTTTGGGTCACCACAATAACTGGGAGTGCTGCTGGTTGGTCTGGGCAGGGGCGGGCCCATAAAATGTTCATTCAACGCAGGTCCTGTGCCACACAGAGTTGCCCCACCAAAACTCCCAACAGCACGCCTGTGAGAGACACGGCATCTTTCCTTCTGTGGCTCAGAAATGAGACTCTTCTCTGAGGGTCACAGCGGAAGAGAGAGAGTTACGTAATGAAAAGCAACTGAATTTTGCTAGAGATTTTTTTTTTAAGTAAGAAAATGTTTTGTTATACTTCAGTTCTATATTTTGACTTGTTAAATGAGATAAACAGGGAGGGTAAGAAAGAGAACATCAAACACCTAGTAAAAGACAGGTATTTACTGATAATTAGGGAGCGATAGGGGCCCATGGGATGCACTGAAGTTCCAGAAGAGGAAAACTAATGAGAAGGGTGGGGGTGATGTGGAAAGGTAGGCGCACACTCATCCAGATGCAAAGACTCCCTGCCTCGTGCCCAAACCCCCTCATGCAGCCTCTGATGTGGCCTTGCCTCTGAAGGCTCAGGTCTTGTTGTATGTGCACCAGTGGAGGCGCGTAGCCTGAGCCTTGTTTGGATTGACCCACGTGCTGGGTGAGACGTGAAGAGTCCCCTCTCGGCAATGGATGAAGATGAACCACAGTGCCAGCTACTCGGGTTGCTCCCAAGGTCTCTGCATCTAGCATGTGGCTGCGCGGCGGCTCCTTTTCCCAGCCTGAGTTTTGATGACAAGCGTGCAGAATCAAATTTGATAGCTCTGTTAGGGCCTTCTCTTTAACATTAAAATTTTTCCCATCTGAAACTTAGAAAAGTGTAAAAAATTATGTTCAGTTCTGCTTATATTTGCTTTCACTGTTACATTATTTCAAAAATGCTTTTTTCCGCAGTATTTGCTGGTACTGTTATCACAACCATCACTCGAGGTGGAAGCTTGCATGCCACAGTCTCTCTCATCCACATCTATAAAGACGGCAATCTGGCGATTCAACAGGCTGGCAAGAACATGAGTGCCAAGGTCATTGTGGTCTGCAAGCAGTGCCCTCTCCTTAGAAGAGGTGAGTAAAGAGGTACACTTTAGTCTTGTAGGGGAGCTCAGAGATAGGCGGGAGGAGGTAGCCTCTCCTGGCCACTCGGATCTGTGCACACCATGGCTGGTTAAGGAAGTCAGGTGAAGGAAGACCATGGCGTCAGGCAGAGTTGGGCTCTACTCCCAGCTCTTCTGCGTGGCAGGGGACGAGGCGGGGATGTGGCGAATGAGTCCAGGCAGCACTGAGGTGGAATGCGTATAGAACAGCCAGAGGAGCAGTTCAGAAGAAGGAAATTTTCAGTTATTGCACTTAAGATGCCCATACTGTATGGAGAGGAAAATACCCAGCAAAGAAATGGCTGTTCAGAGCTGAAGTTCAGCAGAGAGAGGGGCATGTGGGCTAGAATGAGAGATTTGGGAATTATTGTCAGATGCAGGGTCATTCAATCCATAGATGGGAATGAGTTTATTAAGAGAAATTATGGGAAACGTTACTCCAGAGCCAGAGTTACATAATTTTTAAACAATCTCTTACAAAAGTACTGTGTTTTCTATGGTTTTTAAAAAGTTTAAGTGGAGAAGAATATAAATAAAATGGGAAGCCCTTTCCCTCTCAAACCCAGAGGCACTATGACAACTTCAGAAAGTCTCTGTCCTAGGCACACCGAGACAAATGGGGGCCACACTGTACACCTGCTATTGCAACTTTCCCCCCATGAAACATGTAGATGGCTTTCCATAAACAGCACATAATGCACATCTAAACCTTTCCTTTGTGATCTCATAATGACCCTAGCAGTGCAGCCTTCAGGCGGCCACTGCCAGCGCACTCTGATGACAGTGTTAGCGCAGAGGAAGGGTTATGCAGGAGAAAGGGGAAGCATCTTTCTCTTACGACACACTGGGGAAGAGGGAGAGTAAAGGAAGTCAAATACACACTTCCTTTATGACATTTTCTGAGGCAATACAAATCTTCAGAGTCAAACTCAACATGCCACAGCCTAGGCCCCAGTCTAGGCCAGACACACTAATGTAATAAAAATAATATGACAGATATAACTGCTTCTTTAGTACCAGTTTTTTGCAAAGGACTACAAGGATGCGAAGAAGTATGTGATCCAGCCATGCCCTGAAGAAACTTACCTTGTGTAGATGCTTGAGGTGTTGGAGAAAAGTTCAAGGCAACAATGACCAAAGGCAAGGATCACTAGTTGCCCAGAGCCTGGAGAATCCAGGAGCTCTATGGGACTGAGAGAAGACATCTGAGGACAGCGTGCTGGGAGCACTAGAGGCCTATCACATGAACACAGTGCATTGTTCTTGGTAGACTCTCAGTAAGTGCACCAGCCCCACAGCTTTGCAAAGCAGGGCATGACTGACTGAATCATCCCATCCAGCTTCCTAGTGTTAGCACAGCTGGGACGTGGTACTCAGTTGAATGTAGATTTTTGCTGATGAGAGTCTTAAACCAGATCTTATCCTAGATACAATAAATGTATATCATCTACAGAACATTTACCTACAGATAAGTTATAGTCTAAGTTGTGATTCCAAGATGGCAGCAGATTAGTTGGAAGCTACACTGACCTCCCAGGTACAAACTGGAATTACACCTAAAATATAGAAAAATAACCGTGAATAACCAATTGAAGACTAGCTGGAGAGAAGCCTTATAACCAAGAACATAAAGAGAAGGCCACACTGAGACAAGTAGGAAGGGCAGAGGTATGAGAGGGCTGGCTGGGCTCCACAGGCACCAGCTGAAGGGGTATCTCAGCTGCAGGGGGTTCCCCCTGAGAAATCTGAGGACTAAACCCCAAGCTGGGTTCCCTAGTCCAGAGCACCAGAACCAGGAGAGGTGCCCACATAACTTCTGACTGTGAAAAGCAACAGGGTTCTGTCTGTCAGAGAGAGATGGCTAGAAACGTGGGCATCATCATAAAGGACCAACACACAAAATTTCATTTGCTTCCAGTTGCCCTGGGCTCTGGCAGAGGGAGGTGAGATTGGACTAGAACTGTGTGAGGAGAGTCTGGGGTTGGTGGCTCTGGGGAGAGAGCTGAGACAATGGCCAGCAGGATCCCTGAGCCGAGTCATTCCCCTATACTGCAGGAGCCATCGTTCTCAGACAGAGCTTTCCATCCGTGTAGCATTAGCCTGGGGGAAAGCAATAGCCCCATTTGTTGGAATTCCTCTTGCTCCACCCTGTGGAGCTTACGCCCTGCTGAGGACTACCGTCTGAGGTTCATTAAGTGACTGAACCTAATAGCCTGCAGGCAGAAGTGGATCTCTGGGTGCTTTGACTCATCTGACCTGGGTCTGGTGCCAGTAAAAGCAGTTCTTGGAGCACAGCTTGATACTTTTCACAGACACCCAAGCTCAGCAGAGGGAGCCACCAGCTGTGGATTGCTGATAGCTCCAAACACATTGCCCAGGGCTAGTCACAGACAGCATCTGACATTGGCCTGCACCAGAGACATTCCAAAGAGGCCCAGACCAGTACACCCAGTGGCCAGCTCCATACAACAGAGCAGAATCCAATCAGCTTTACAAGCAGCATATCCACAGTGAGATATTGGCAGGCGTCAAAAACTGCTGAGGCAAATTCCACTTCATGTGATCAGCACCTGCATAGCAGCCAGCATGCTGTGTTGGTAGTTGAGCTTCACTGTCAGCCTGACTTTGGGTGAAGGCCATGTATGAATAGGCCAATAGCAATCAAGACTCAATTACAATAGGAGGGCCCACACAACTGCACACAAGGAATATTTTTAGAGCAACCAGTTCTGGTGATCAGGGAGACAATGCCACTGTGTCCCACAGGTCACCTACTGCTTAAGGCCACCCTACCAAGACTGGGAGTCATAGCAGATCTACCAAATACATAGAAACAAACACAAATAGGCAGCCAAAATGGGAGACGAATAAAGCCCCAAATGAAGGAACAAGGGAATTCTCTAGAAGAGTTAAATGAAGTGGAGGTTAGCAATTTATTGGATATGGAGTTCAGAGTAATGATTATAAGGATGCTCAACAGCATGAAAAAGGATGTAGAAACCGTAAAAAAGGACCAGTCAGGAGCGAAGAGTGTTGTATCTGAAATAACACACTGAGAGGAATAAACAGCAGGCTTGATGAAACAGAGGATCGAATCAGTGGTTTGGAAGACAAGGTAGAAAACACCCAATCAGAGCAGCAAAAAGAAAACAGACTTTAAAAAATTGAGGATAGTTTAAGGACCATATGAGGATCAATGTGAAGCATAACAAAACCCACGTCATAGGGGTACCAGAAGGAGAAAAGAGAGAGCAAGGGATCAAGAAACTATTTGAGCCTGGCCGGGTGTGGCTCAGCGGTTGAGCATCGACCTAGGATCCAGGCAATCGTGGTTCAATTCCCAGTCAGGGCACATGCCTGGGTTGCGGGCTTGATCCCCAGTGGGGGCCATCCAGGAGGCAGCCGATCAGTGACTCTCATCATTGATGTTTCTCTCTCTCTCCCTTTCCTTTCCTCTCTCTGAAATCAATAAAGATATATTAAATAAATAAATAATAAATAGTAAGCAAATAAATAAATGTAAAGGGCTGGAAAAAGATAGTTCGTGCAAATGGAATGGGGAAAAAAAGCTGGGGTAGCAATGCTTATATATGACTAAATTTTAAAACCAAACCTATAGTAGGTGACAAAGAAGGACACTATATAATGATAAAGGAATCAATCCAACAAGAGGACATAACCCTTGTAAACATTTATGCATCTAGCATAGGAGCACCTAAGTATGTAAAGCAAATCTTGATGGACAGAAAGGGAGAGATTGACAATAATACAGTTATAGTAGGGATTTTTACACCCCCTTGACATCAATGGATAGAACTTCCAGGCAGAAAATCAACAGGAGATGGCAGCCTTAAATGACACACTAGATCAAATGGATTAAATTGATACCTTCAGAGTATTTTACATGAAAGCAGCAGAATATACATTCTTTTCAAGTGCACATGGAACATTTCCTGGGATAGACCACATGTTAGACACTAAACAAGTCTATATAAATTTAAGAATATTGAGCCCTACCCAGTGTGGGTCAGTGGTTAGAGTGTCAGCCTGTGCACCCAAGTGTTGCGAGTTTGATTCCTGGTCAACCCATGGGTTGCAGGCTTGTTCCCGTGCCCCAGTAGGGGCACATGCAGGAAGCAAGCAGTCAGTATGAGTCCATGTTTCTCTCCCTCTCTCTCCCTCCCCCTCTTCCCCTCCCTCCTCCC